ATTCAACAGATCCTCTGCTTTCTTCTTTTTTTTCTTGAAATGAAATGAATGTAGTTTTTATCATAAAAAGAAATCCTTCCCTTTTGAATATGAATTGTAAAGATATGAATTTTACTGATCAGTAATAATAATGGTAGGTTTTTTGTATACGGATCTGAATTTAATTAGAAACTTCTTAATTTTCTAAAAAAAAAGTCTAAATTTAGATTAAAAAGAGGAGGATTCTGTTAATTTATTTATGGATCTGCTCCAATAGATATCTTATGTCATTGATGAAATTCATTTCATGTATAAAGATTCCAATTTTGAAAATCCCTCATATTTATCAATTGTTTTCATATATCGCAACTTATATATTATATATAGTAAAAAAGATCTATCATTAATTACTTTGAAATCGCGTATACATATGTATTCTTATCATACTGAAATGAGTTCCGTTAGTAGTATTAAACCAATAGCGATTCATACAAGCTAAATCTTCTAATCTAAAATTGGGCCAAAGAAATGATTTTAATTTAATTAGGTTATTTTTATCCTTATCAAGATCTTTCTTTTTATGCAAAACTGTGGTCAAGTTTTGAATATTCTTATCAAATCTTAAATTTCTATCCCTCGCATTTTTTTTTTTTAAGTTGAAACAAATTAGAATTCGAAATTCTCTACGTCGTTTAGGGGGTAGAATTATTTCTGGGACAAAGAAATCATAATTGTTTTTTTTATCAATATAGCTTTTTTTTTTTTTTTTGTATCTTGTACTTATTTTTTTTTTTTTTTTATGAACGAATGAAATACCTATGGTTCTATATATAAGAAGTTGTCCGGCGTTTTTTACAGACAAACGGACAGGTTCAATAATCAATATTCCTTTTTTCATTAATTTTGTAAAAGTGAAATTCTTCTCAATCATTAGAATATCCAGGCTCATCTCTCCTCTTTCAATAGAAGATATCGCTATCTCGTTTGGGTTTTTTAGTCTAACTAAGAGACAATATACTTTTACATTATCGAGAATTTTTTGATTAAAAAAAAAATTCCATCGCAATTGAAAACGCGAATACCTTGTGAGAAATAAATCAAGTTCCGCTTCGGTATTGCTTTTGTATTGTTTTTTATTTTTACGTTTTTTTATCTTCGATTCTGCATAATTTTCTTCAATCCTTTTTTCGTCGTTTGATAAAACTAATTCAGGATTTCTTTTTTTTTCTTTATCTGATTCAAGCTCTCCTTCACCTGCTGATTCTTTTTCTTCTTTAGTTAGATTATAAAATCGAAGGGATTTTTTTGCATTTGATCCTATAAAACCTTTTTTCTTTAGAGTGATCTTTTTATTAACACTTTTTTTTTCAGTAAAATTGAAAAGAAGTAATTTAATTGGTATGACCCATGGTTTCATTTTATATGTACTAGAAAATAAGAAAAATTCCGGAAAGAAAAAAAATTCAAAATTTGTTACACGAGGATTTAGTATTTCTTCATTCATTCCCATCCAATCAAAAAAGTTTCTTTTTTGATTGGCAAGACCCGGCGGAGTTATTTTATCAATTCTTTGATAATTCTGAACTTGAGTCTGACTATATATTTTTTTACTTGTGGTATCAACCCGGGGCTCAATATTTAGTTTTTTTATAAACCAAAAGTGGAGAATTCTCCAATCTAAATATTTTCTATACCCAACTTCCCCTATACCCCGAATATTATATTTTTCTAGAAAACAAGAGACTAAACAATTATTTGGAGTAATCCCTATAGAAGACATGTCAAAATTTTTTTCTGCAGAATTAATAGATTTGTAGCAAAAAAAATTATATATACAATCTTTTTTTAATTTTTTTTTTTTATTTAATAATGAGTCGGCCTCAAAAAATTTTTGTTTTTTGTAATTATCAAATTTGTTTTTTTCATATGAATCTTTTTTGGTTAAACTTGGATTTAAAACTGGGGAGTCTTGGTTTATTTTCTTTTTCCATTTTTGAGTTACTAATCTAGCCCATGCAATCTGAGGTAAATTGTATTGAGAATGACTTCGTAACCAGTTTTTCCATGGATTTACTTCAGAAAAACAAAAGGTTTTGTCTTTCAATTCATAATGAAAGATTCCTTGTTCTTGAAAAAAATCCTTTAGTTGATTCTTAACAAAAGAGGATGTTATGCATATGTTATATTCAAGAATAGCCTTTAATTTAGCAAAGTTACTAATTTGAATTTGTGATAATTTGTAAAATACATATGCTTGTGATAAAAAGCATAGGTCAGAATTCCATTTTTTTTTTTTTGATATTAAATTTTTTATAGTCGAAATAAAATAAATGGTTTTTTTTTTTTTATTAAATTTTTCTCCATTTTCTTCATTCTTGTAAATATATTTATCAAGAATTGTTTTTGTTGATTCAAAAAAAAGTTGTGTAGTAATTCTTGGAATATTAATGATACCTAAAAAAATAACTAGAGACAGTTGTTCAATGCAAAATTTAAAAAAAAAAAAAGATTTACGAATTAATCGGGTATTTTTTCTTTTTAATGTTTGCCAACTTTTTTTTGATGACTCAATTATTTGAAAATCATAACACGGTTTATTACAACTATTAGTTAGGTTTTCTTTTTCTTTTGCAATTTCGTCTGTTTGATTTCTGATTGTCTTTATTCTATAAATCAAATTTTTTTTTTTTTTTTCACTGAGTGAAGAATTTGTCCACTCCGTGGATTTTTTTTGAACAGATAGTTCATGAATCATCTGATTACTCATTATTGAATCTTTTTTAGTTTCAGTTAATTCATATATTTCTCTCGGTCCAACTAATGGAATTAGATTTTGTTTTGAAAGGTTGTTTATTTTTCCTTTTAGAAAAAGAAAGTTTTTGATAATCCAGTTTTGGATTTCTTTTGCGACTTTTAGGAAAATGGCTGCTCTTTCTTTGAGAATCCTTAAAACCAGAAAAGACTTCGTTTTATATTTTTTGATTCTTTTTTTTAATTCTTTAGAAATAGGCTCAAAAAAAGAAGGCTTTTTTTTGGCCGAACCAAACGGCAGTTCTGTTTCCATTCCCCAAACCGTTAAAAAACTAAAATTGTTTTTTTCTCCTTTGTCTTTTCTTTTTTTTAGCCGAGCCTTCGGAGATGATTGAAATTTAGATTTATGCCAAGGTTTAAGATAAAAAGGAAATAGGATTTTTATCTGAATACCATCCGTTAACCAGTTTTTTGGAAATTCAGTTTCGGATAGTTGAACCCCATTATAAGTACATTTAATATGCATTTCACGTTTCCAATCCTTTAAATCCTCAGACCACTCGGGGAGTTGAAATAATAATAGCCGGATGCTATTTTTTATTATTATCAATAAAGGTACTATAATATATTTTCTAAGAATAGATTGAGTTAATAAGAGAGAACCTCTTATTATTTGAGCAAATTGGAAGCTATCCCAAGTTTCTGCAATTTCTATCCGTCTTTTTTCTTCTATTTTTGATTCTTCTTCCTCTTTTTTATAATTTTTTTTTTTTTTTTTTTCCACATGAAATTTCTAAGAATTGTTTTTTTGAGCCCCCGTATATCAAATGAAAAATCAAAAAGTTTATCTATTCTAT